CAAATCGCCCAGCCCTAGTAAGACTCAAGAATCCATCGTCCTACTTGGCCAGAGATCAGATGTGGCTGCAAAGTGACCAAAATCAGCCATAGACTTCGTCACATGACACTTAGGGAAAGTAATTTAAAAAAATCGTCCTGGAAAAATTTAAGCAATTATACGTTATAAATATATATATATATATATATATATATATATATATATATATATATATATATATATATATATATATATATATATATATATATATATATATATATATATATATATATATATATATATATATATATATATATATATATATATATATATATATATATATATATATATTTATATATATATTTATATATATTTATATATATATATATATGTGTGTGTATATATATATATATATATATATATATATATATATATATATATATATATATGTATATATATGTGTGTGTGTGTGTGTGTGTGTGTGTGTGTGTGTGTGTGTGTGTGTGTAATAATAATATATAATACGTATAGAAAATATTAATTAATCAGTTTTAACTTGTCTTGGCCTTCAATAAAACCAAAATTTAGGTAGGCTTTGTCATACTGTCTAATCTTTTTCTTCGCCTCTGAAGAATCACTGCATTTACGTTTGTCTGCCATTTTTGTTTTGATTTTGCCTTTACGACACGTTGACAAGCAGATTACGTGATTTAAATGATTATTTAAAGTTATTTATTTTAATTATTTTCACTATTATGTTGGAATTTTAAGCATGTGTTTAGATTTTTTTGTTTGGGACTTAAAAATATATATATAATAGTAGGATTGCTCGATTTTGGGAAAAATTATAATCCCGATTATTTTGGTCATAATTGTAATCACGATTATTCAAAACGATTGCCAGTTAAAGTAAAAAATTATTAGCGCTCCTGAGATTTTTTTTATTTTTTATAAATATTTCCCAAATTAAGTTTAACTGAGCAAGGAATTTTAACAGTATTTCCTATAATATTTTTTCTTCTATTTGTTTTATTTTAGCTTGAATAAAAACAGGTTTAAATATTTTGAAACCAATTTAAGGTCAATATTATTACCCCCCTTAAGCAATATATATTTTTGATTGTCTGCAGAATAAACTACCGTTATAATGACTTGCCTTATTACTCTAATTAAGCCTTTGAACTGCACTTTAATCTGAATGCTTGTATTTGCGATTTGGGACGCAGCTTGCGTGATCGTGCTGCACACACACACAAGCACGCGCTCTTTCGCGCTTTTAAGAGCAGCAACATGTGTACAGCTGGAACGTGGCAAAATATGATGCAATAATCATTTATCTCGATTAATGCTTTTTTATAATCATTTGAAACAGAAATCTAAATAATAGGATTTTTGATTAATTGCAAAGCCCTTTATAATAGTGGAGCATTTTTATGCCTTTTTCTACTTCAATACTTATCCTCTCCCGCGCCCCCCCTGTGAACTCTGGCGCCCCCCTTAGGGGGGCGCGGACCCCAGGTTGGGAACCACTGGGCTAGTGCACGTATTTCCAGTCACTCATAGATGAAGATTTGATGGAATCTCTGACCTGACGAGCTCGTATGTTTCTCCCAGCAGTGGATTGAAGGGTTTTCCAGTTCTTTCCCACTGTGAGGCCACGGCGGACACTGCAAACGCTGCGACACACTAAAAAACACACACACACACACACATTACTGACACATGAAGAGTCGCGTCTGGGAATGTTGTTTTGTTATGGCTGCAGAGCCAGCAAATCTGAACGTCAGTTTTAAAGCTCTAGGAATAGTAATTATCAATCTACATTCATATTTTGCTAATAGACTGTTAATGAATTTTACACTTGTAATGCATATTTCTCTATATTCTTTAAAATTATTTTTGAATTTTATTATTTATTTTAACTTTCATCTAAAAGAATCACATTTTAAAAAATGTAAACTGAATTAAATATGATTAGCAATTGCTTATTAATGGCCTTTATAAATAAATATACATTCACCAGCATGGATCACGTCACACTGAGCTAGACTTTATTTTAGGGATGGTAAGGGAACAGTGGGATGAAGGGAAGTAAGCAGATGAACGGTGAACAGGTAGGCAGGTTGATCGGGCATCCTACGATCATGCCCAGATACTCAGGGTGGGGGTACTGTCACTGTAATATTTTGGTAGAGTGATTGGACCCCCCAAATCAACCTAGGAGGGAGGAGAGGGTTATAAGGATTGTTAATGGGAAGCAAGGAAATATAGTGAGGGAGGGAGGGTTCGAGAGAACGAGAAGAACAGAGCTAGAGGGCTGGTCTGCCTTAAATAAGTTTTAGGGAGCAGGTGATTGGATAAGAAGACAAAGTGAGGTGTGGTCCTGCTGCCGAACCTTTGTTAACAAGTTAACCCCATAACAAATTAATTTAATGATTAAACTTGTTTTAAATGTCACTATGTTTCTGCGACAGTGTTATACTAATTTTCATTAAATTCATAAAAAATATGCAGTTTTTAAAACAATATTTCAAATATAAAAATAGTATTTTTTATTGTAGGTTACCTGTAAAACATATGAATGAAAGTTTCAAAAAGTTTATAAATAACTATTTAAGAAATCTGCATGTACTGATTGTGGGTCAAAGTGCACCTGTATGTGTTATGAGGATAAATCCACCAATGCAATTATTATTCACAGCTAAAATTATTTGTATTAAATTTCCATAAAATTACAAATAATTAGCATTTCAATGCATTTTATCAATAATGCATAATGTGTGCTAAAGGCATTTAAATGCAAAGCCCATTGATTCATTCAGGTCTAAGCTGTAATCAATATTCCTTGTGCTGGAATTTAAAATTCTCCCTCTCGATTAAATATGCAAGTAAAACGAAATTCTGTGTATCATCTTGATGCTAAACTTTGTACATACAACAATTTCACCAAACACTTATTAATAGGCCTTGCTTAAGGTCCAACGCTCTGCTTATTTCAGCTCCTGCTCTATTTTTCTATCCACAAAGGGTTCCATGGCCTAAAAAATAAAAATATGTTTACCTTCATTCTGTGGATGGAGTCTTGGGAAGCGTTGGCTCTGTGGATGAGGTACGTGTGCTCCATGTACTCAGTCAATCTCTGAAGAAAACTCAGAGGCTCATTAAAAATCACCGGCATTGTGATTTTGGACAGCTCCTGTGAAGAGGTGAGGAGGAGAAAAACTAGTCAGAATAACAAAACTGAAGAAATATTTATATAGTCTTCAGATTAGGGTTATATTTCTGCACTGAAGTCCCTGAAGTTGAAGAAACACTAATATTGTGTGTGTGAATTGTCTTTGACTCACCATCCCAATGCATTTTTTGAGGACGCTCCACATACTGATGTTGTTTCTTGAAAACATGGCAGCCGGAAGAGCCGACCTGTTCCCGGACAGAAACACAAAAAATTTGTATCATATATCATAGTATCATACAATTATATGGTATCATATAGTATCGTATCATATCATATTGTATGGTATATCTTCGTATCATATCATATATTGTATCATATATCATTGTATCAGAATTATATGGTATCACATAGTATTGTACCATATTGAATCGTATGTCATGGTATCATATCATTGTAACATTTTGTATCATATCATATATCATCGTATCGTAACAGAATCATATGGTATCATATAGTATCGTATCATATAGCATTGTATCATGTATCATATGGTATCATATCATTGTAACATTTCGTATCATATCATATATCGTATCATACATCATCGTATCGTATCTTAGAATCAAATGGTATCGTCTAATATCGTATCATATCGTAATGTAACATATATTATCGAATCATATGGTATATATCATTGTAACATTTCATATCATATTTTAGTATCGTGTCATATATCACATCATCATATCATATCATCGTATTGTATATCATAGTGTCATACCATATCGTACCATATATAGTATTGCATCACATCATCGTATCATATTGCATTGTAATGTATCATATCGTATCGTACCATTAAATCAAAATCGTATTATATCATATTATACCATAGTATTACATCGTATCATATCACATTATCGTATCATATCATCTCTTATTATCCTATCATAGTATCATATCGTATAGTTTCATATCATATATCATATTGTATCGTACCACATCATATCATAACACATCATATCACTGTATCCTATATTATATCATATCATAATGCATCATATCATATATAATATCGTATAATATCATCATATATCATAATGCATCATATCATTGTATTGTATAATATCATATCATATATTATATTATTATTTTCAAAAGTAAATGTCCCTAAATACACCTACAAGCATTATTTAATCTTGGTAGCAGCAGCAGCAATGATATGAATATTCTATAATGCATAAATATAAGCTTGTTATGAGAGTAGAGTGAACGCAAGTTTAAAACAAGAGGAAAACTCAGTCACATGACAGTGAACATATATACCTGTGATTTTTAACTCCATTGCGCTGGGTTTGATCACCCTGACTACTGTCCCCTGACATGACGTCTGCCTCTGGGGCCACACTGTTTTCTGATCTGCCTCTAGAGAAAGGACAGCAAAAACACCATTACTTAAGAGAGCAAGAACATTTTAGACCTGTACAGCACATACGGTTGAGCATTATTTGCCCTCCTGTATATTTTCTGTTTAACAGAAAGAGGATTTTTACAATGCATTTCTAAACATAATAACTCATTTCTAATAACTGATTTCTGATATCCGTGCCATGATGACAGCACGTAATATTAAACTAGATATCACGTACTAATAATCAGCTTAAAGTCATTGGACAACTGTTGTTTTATGGTGCCAGTCGAAAAATAATGACTTAAGGAGGCTAAAAATACAAATAACTAAATATTTTCCCCCGAGTCAGACTGAAAACAAATTGACTTTCTCTAGAAGAGTGAAATATAATAAAAAAAATATTAAAACGGGTAAATAATAGGGTTAATAATTTGTCCGTGCTATTAATAGTCTTGTGATGCTTTTGCACTCTAAAAAACACAGGGTTAAATACTACCCAAATTGGGTTGTTTTTAACCCTACTGCTGGGTAAATATAGGACAGAACACATCAGGGGTTAAATTAACCCATGTAATTGGGTTATTATTTTTAACCCCACAACTAGATTGTTTTTTCTACCCAATAATTGGTTATTTTTACTTAAATAATAGGTTCATTTGATTTAATAAATAGGTTATTTTTAATGTAATATTTAGCTTTCTTTTAAAATCATTAACCACATAAAAACAAGCAGGTCAATATTGTATTAGCTTAGTTTTTGTTCCATTAAGATTGTTCAGCACATTACACTAAGTAAATACACTTTACATCAACTAAAAATTCATAAAACAGTAAATACAAATTATAACAACTCGTAGACTTATAGAAACTCAGTCAGGAACTGTTTTAATGATGCCGTTTATCACACATCAGCGAATGGATTTGTAATGGATATATATCTGCTCCACACATTTCTGTCAGAGTAGAGCACACGGGATTATAAGATTATGACAGTATTAGATTGTGCGCTACGGTATGATGACATCTGTCCACTGCTAAGAGTCTGCTATGATCAAATGCTGGGTTGTTTTAACCCAACGGTGAGTTATTGTTTTTAGTGACACTGAAACTGCACTTTTTAGCTCATGGTTAGGCTTTTTCATATTCAACCCAGGGCTGGTCTAAAACGATGCCGCATTTTTTAGAAGTGCACCTACAACATGAACTGATTTCTTTTGTAATTCCCCTTTATTAATCTCTCAGCTCATCCTGGGGTTTATAATGCTGCAGGTTTCTCTGCATTCAGCTTGTTCTGCTATTTTAAGTGTGTTTACTGCAGTTCACACCATATTGAACATCTGTCTGAGCCACACATTATTAGCTTCACTGTTATCCACCTAAATAAAACAGTATAACTTG